CACACACACACACACACACACACACACACACACACACACACACACACACACACACGGTCTGTTTTTCTCATGATTTCTAGGTCACCATCATTAAACTAACGAGAGTTATAATTGGTGAAAACAAGCTCTTGTTGAGCTCCTGTGTTCTCCTCTCCTCTGTGTGTTCCTCCTTGTTTGTGTTGTAAAACCTCAGATTGTTGTGTTTTTCATGAAACGAGTGAGTCCAGTTTGTGTGAAGGTCACAGGAAGTGTTTCCACGAGTGCAGACACGTAAACGATCTTGTTTCCTGCTGCAGCCGAAGGTCACGAGCAGGAGAAATCTCCTGATCAGAGTGTCATTAATGACATCATTGCATGTGTGTGCGTTCGTGGTCACTGTGAGTGTGTGTGTGGTGGGGGGAGGGGGAGTTATTTGGGGAGGGTAATTGCTAATACTTGGCTTTAACTTTAGCTTATTAGCAGGATGAAGCAGAGAGCTGAGCCCCCCAATGGGGTTTAAGATGCGCAGATGGCAGCGCTGACTTGTCTCGTGTTTCTACACCTGCTGGATGTTTACGTGTGATAAATAACACACGTTTGTTTTCTAACCAGTGAGGCCATCAATGTTCCCATGATCCCACTTGGCCTGAAAGAAACCAAAGAGGTGGACTTCACTCTTCCTATCCAGGTAGATTTTAGTGGTGTTTTTTTTTATTGATTTTATATCAAATGAAATCAAATTATCCTCATAAAGTTTGATAACGCACATGATAGAGGTAGATTATCAATCATTATCCTCATTTCTGTTATTAAACTTGACATTTTTTAGTGGAATGAGGACCTCTGTCAAAGAATTCTTAAATAAAATCTTAATTTTTGTGTGTAGGATTTCATCTGCGAGCACTACGGAGAGGACAGCGGTCTGTATGACGGGGAGATCAAGGAGCTGATGGAGCTCAGACAGGTTCATGATGTTCTTTCATCCTCCTGGATCCTGGCTGGAGAACATCAGAGTCCTCCTGCAGCAGATCCTGAAAACAAACTGACCGTAACGTTTCTGACTGAGTGGAATCGTCTGTGAAAATGTTTCTGGGTTTCGTTTTGTTGGGGTTTCAGGCGATGCGCACGCCCAGCAGGAACCAGGCTGGTCTGGAGCTGCTGATGGAGTACTACAACCAGCTGTACTACCTGGACCAGCGCTTCTTCTCTGCTCACAAGAACCTGGGTGTTCATTTCCACTGGTACGATATGCTGTTAAATTACCTGCACTAGGGGATGGACCACACAGCAAATAAACAAACAAACAAAACAACTTCTATAAAATGTTCCATTTCTGGGGTTTGATACACCTGACTGGAAACAAGTATAAATAAATTAATGTGTAGAAGTTAGTCTTTATGTAAATGTCTTCTGTCTCAGGTACGACTCTCTGACGGGCGTCCCGTCCTCTCAGCGTTCGCTGGCCTTCGAGAAAGGCAGTGTGTTGTTCAACATCGGAGCTCTGCACACGCAGATCGGAGCGAGACAGGACCGCTCCGGGACCGCCGGCATCGACAAAGCCATAGAGGCTTTTCAGCGAGCTGCAGGTACACACGTGAACACTCACACCTAAACACACACACCTGAACACTCACACCTAAACACAGACACCTGAACGCTCACACCTGAACACACATACCTGAACACTGACGTCTGAATACACACATACCTGAACACTGACGTCTGAACACACACATACCTGANACACACATACCTGAACACTGACGTCTGAACACACACATACCTGAATAATCTCCCACCTGAACACTCCCATCTGAACACTCTCACGCTTGAACACTCACACCTGAACACAGACACCTGAACACTCACACACCTGAACACTCACACACCTGAACACTCACACACCTGAACACTCTCACCTGAACACTGACGTCTGAACACTCTCATGCCTGAACACTCACACACCTGAACACTCTCACCTGAACACTGACGTCTGAACACTCTCATGCCTGAACACTCACACACCTGAACACTCTCCTGCCTGAACACTCTCTCACCTGAACACTCACACACCTGAACACTCTCCTGCCTGAACACTCTCNTGCCTGAACACTCACACACCTGAACACTCTCCTGCCTGAACACTCTCTCACCTGAACACTCACACACCTGAACACTCTCCTGCCTGAACACTCTCCTGCCTGAACACTCA